TGTGTGTGCATGTATGCATGCATGCATGCATGCATGCATGTATGTATGTATGTATGTATGGATGGATGGATGGATGGATGGATGGATGGATGGATGGATGGATGGATGTATGTATGTATGTATGTATGTATGTATGTATGTATGTATGTATGTGTGTGCGCGTGCGCACCGTGTGTACCAAAGCGCTTTCAGCACTCGGACTTCCAAGGCGTTGTGTTTAGCTGTGTTGTTGTTGTATTGTTCTCTACCGTCCGAAACCGTGCAATTAAGCCACAGTTTTTCCACCTCCAGCCCCCACTCCAGTATGATTGAGCACACGACGTTTCCCACCGTTCTCTTAGGAACTTGGGGGATCGATCTGGCGGTTTCGTGCTCGCCTTCGCCGCCCCGTTGCCGCCTCGTCGCCGCCCGTCGTCTGGGCGGGGTTGTCGGTCTGGCGGCTCCGTGCTCGCCGTCGCCGCCCCGTCGCCGCCTCGTCGCCGCCCGTCGTCTGGGCGGGGTTGTCGGTCTGGCGGCTCCGTGCTCGCCGTTGCCGCCCCGTCGCGGCCACGTGGCCGCCTTGCGGGACGCGCTGGAACATGCTCAGCGGTCAGCGCCACCGCGGCCGCGTCTTTCGCGCCAGACTAGCTGGCTGCCGTGCGCGCGGACCTTCGCGGGCAAGCGCCTGCCGCAGCGATGCGCCAACCAGTGCCTAGCAGTCGCGGCAGTCGCCGCCCCGTGGGTTTTGGGAGCCAAGTTGAGGGTGGGCGGGTGGGATGATTGTGCGGGCATTGTGGTTCGACATTTCAAGTTCGGCAGGGTGGATGCTCTTTTCTAGGAAATGTTTGGATCTACCCCCCCTCCCCCGGGCTAGACGGGTCAACTTTTCGCAGTGCCAGTTGTTCATTGTTCATTCGATTTCCCCCCTGTCGTCCATCCCGAACATGAATCCTCACGATCCCAGCAAGGCTGGAGTTCGATGTGCGCACGCTCGGTTATCAGAGGTCACCAGTTTTCAGAAATCCATGCAACATGTGGGACGAAGTGCGCACGCGCAAGTCGTCGCGCGCGCATGCCGAAATCCTCCAACATTTTCTGCGTCCTAAGGAATTCAACATCGAGCGTTGCGAAAACATGTGTAAGCGCACATGGTTTCGCAACGAGGCTTTTCAAAAACTTGCGCCCGCGTTTTTGCGAATCCTTACGGAAACCATCGAGTTTCAACATGTTCGGAATATGCAACTTCAACGGGCCTCTCGCGCGCATGTCGAAATCGTACGAACGCCAGCGCGCGCATTGTCGCAAGAATCGGTGCAACAAATGGGATGAAGTGCACGCGCGCGCGTCGCCGCGCGCGCACCCCGGAATAGTTCAAACATTGAAAGGGTCGTACAGCTTTCAAAAACGAGTGTCCATGTCGAATTCATTCGAACGCCCTTGCGCGCGTGCTGTGGTAGCGGGGGGGGGCGCGATCCGTTTCAAATAACACCACGCGGGCCACTCATGCCCGTCGGCCGCGCGCGCATGTCGAATCTTTCACATTTGTCCGCCGACGCGAGGACATCGTCATCGTCTTCGGCGTGATCAGCATCGGCGCCGTCACTGGCCTTGCCGCGGTCGTTCCCGACATCGTCACCAACATCGCTATTAGTATCATCGTGTCTACCGTTGTCGACGTTGCCAAGATACCGCGCCCACCCCAGCCGCCGACTCGCATTGGAGTGCCCGCTTGGATGTGCCCAGCGGTCAGCGCCACCGCGGCCGTGTCGGCCGCGCCAAACTAGCTGGCCGCTGCGCGCGCAAGCATGCGCGGGTTAGCGCGGCCGCAGAGATGCACCACGCAACACCAGACATCGATCTCAATGGCCTACGCATGGGTTTTGCGAACCAAGCTGCGTTTGGGTGGGTGTGATGAATGCGGGAGCAGCGGAGTGCGGAGTCGACAGTAGTGTTCTCCCCAAGTGAGTTGCACCACATAGATTGTTCCATGTCGATTGTACCACATGGTTTGCTTGATGCACATTGTTTGGGGCCCACGCTGGCTAACATATGTTTTGTTTGTTTCCGTTCGTTTCCCCCCGCATCCCTCACACAAGAAGAGTTACCGAGTAAGGTCGTTACACCGTAAGTCCGTTTGTAAGGCCGCCGCGAAAACAGATCGCGCGTACGGCCGCCATTAAGGGACGATTGTTGCAAGACCGCCACAACAAATAATGCCATCATGCGCCGCGAGGAACATAAATTAAACCCAGTCACCCAAATTGGGTAGATGCGTAATCCACCACAACGGAAATCAATGTCCAATGCCGCCACAAAAGGGATCGCTGCGCAACCCAGCCCAACATGAACCATATTGAAAGTGTTTCGAGCGGATTTCGTGTGCTGGAGGGATACCACAATATTCAATTTGTAATCCATCACAAAATGATAAATGTTACAATGTGCCGCAGGCATTTCATGCGTAGTGATACAGATCGAACCAAATTATGGTCCGACACGAACCAAGTCAATTTGCAACCCGTTTCAAAAGGTAATCAATGTGTATTCCGCCGAGAAAAAATGGGTGGTCCGCCACAAAAGGGTGCAATCTACAATCCGCACCAAAAAGAAAGCATCTCCAACCCGCAGCAGAAAGAAACCGTTTGTGATCCGCCACAAAACGAGTCAATTTGTGATCGCTCATAAAAAGAAGGATTTTCGTGCACATTGCGCTACAATGCAAATCTAAGGTCGCCACATCAAAAAGAAATGTGTGACCCACCAAAACATGAGACAATGCGCAATCCACGAAGACAGCAGACACAGGAGAGCGACACAAGAGAGGAGGAGGAGGAGGGAGAAAGCTTTTGTAGACGTTCCCGACCTGTGGAATTCAGAATCGGAAGGTCATCCGGGAGGATTGGAGAGAAGAGGGCGGACATGGGGAAGCGGCAACTGGTGATAGGGGAATAGGGTGAAGAACAGATGTGGGCAGTGATGGAGAATGAGCAAAGGGTAGGAAGAGGGGAGAACGATAACGATATGATGTGAAGTCTCATGGTGGACGATCTGGAGAGGGAGCGCGCTGAGAGTAGTAGTCGTAATGCGTTGCGAAAGGCTCAATCCGTAGGAGCAGGACTTTACACTAAATTCTGGCGCCGCACGCCGTGCATGGTGCATCGCATACGGTGGGCTGACTCACAACGCCATCAACGTGTAATCCGCCACGCAAGGAATCAACACTGAATTCCGTGAGTAAAAGACGTCATATGTGTGGGCCACAGCCAACAATCTTATATATATATATATATATATATATATATATATATATATATATATGTATATGTGTGAGGCCGCAATAACAATAATTATCTGTGAGGCCGCGACACGATGAATGCGATTTGGAGACAGCCGCACAACTAATCAAATTGCCCTACGCCACAGGATGCATCAAACCGTAAGGCCGCCGTAAGCGGTTCACATGTGTGAGGCCGCCGCAAAACGAATCAGTGTGAGAGGCCACCGTACATGACATGTGTTTGTTGGCCACCACAGGGGGTCGTTTCTGCAAGGCTGATTCGCAAAGGATAGGATATTGCAAACAGAAGGAGTCGTATTGTAAAGTTGCTTGCAGGGAATATATCGCAAGGCAGTCGCGATGAGAGACACCATTTCTAGGCCGCGACACACACATAGTGAGTTTGCAACCAGCATGAAAACAAGTCAATATGCAGTCATATAACAGAAATATGTGCCATCACGATAAATACGAGAACGCCACCGGAATCCATCTTTTTGAATCAGACTGGCACAGAAGGAATCACGTCGCACCCCGCACACCCAGACACACACACACACATACACCGAACGCATCGAATTGCAATCCTCCGCGAAAGGAATCAATATGCAACGCCGCCAGTAGAAGGCGGTTTCATAATAGCGGCCCGCCTCCGCTGCATTTGATTTTGTTGATGCTTGCTGTGGCTAATGCGTTGCCTTGTCCGCGTTGCAAAACAGATAGCAACATCGTTAGTTGCTTGCGCATTGGCCTATTGTTCGCGTCGGCTTGATTCACTCGTCCAATGCATCGCACTGCACCATAGTGCCGTATGCACTATGAGATATGAGGAAAACGGACGTTGGTAGCAATACTAATTGCAAAAGTTGCGTTATCCAGTGCACTTGGGTCAGACCCCCGCCCCTTTTCTCCTTCGGGGCATTTCCCAGGCCTGATTAGTACCCCCCGTCCTGTGCCACGAAAGGAATCAATGTGTAATATCACACGAGGAAGTTGGTCGAAACCCGCTACAGTAGGAATCAGCCAGTACATCCCCCATAGAAGGAGTTGTGTACCCCTTCCCACACACACACTATGATTGAACATGTCCATCCCCTGCAGAAGGTAGCGATGTGTATTACATGGAAGAAAGAGAGCAAACAGAGCGAGATGAGGAAGGACGGGAAATACAGAGCATCCGTGATGGAATTGAGCGCAGTTATGCCCCCTAAGTCGAGACATACAAACACGACCCTATCGTGACGCTTCTGGAACTGTTCGACACACACACACACACACACGTACCACCCCCTCGCAGAGTTTCTGGGTTTGCTCCTTCGGCCATCCGTGCTATGGTTCTTCTCTTCTTCCGCGAAGGTTTCCGAGTCGCTTCCATGGACGATGGAAGCCTCCAGAGGACTTCGTGAGGGCCACAGGAATGTCATTCCAAAACGATCAAGAACGCCCGAGTACCTCCTTGTCCAGACAGCTTCCGACGTCGTGTTTGTTTTTTTTCGCAGCGTGGATACCAGTTTTCGACCCCGTTCGCGACTCTCTGCGTCTCGTCTTGCGTATGTGTTTGTTTCGTCTCGGGGCCCGCCAAGGCCCCTCCAGCAGCCGAAGATGGCTAACAAGTGTCAGTTTTTTATTTTCACGACGCGAGGAATTTGGGTCCCAATGTCCTCATCTCTCCCACGCAGCCGATGTTTTGCCCTCCTGGGCCCCGCACCCCGTTCGCGTTTCCGCGGTCGCCGAGCTGTGACAGGCTACACGCTCACCCTCGTGGGCATGGGCATGTTCGATTACGCGAAGCAGGCACGTGGGGCACAATCGTCCAGAGTTGAGGACGAGGAGGATGAGGACGACGACGAAATCACAGGCACATACACGTATTCCTTAAGCAGTGCTTGTATTGGCGGCGCCCCGGCGTCGTATCGAAGAATGTGGTGAAAGAGCAGGGCCGATTTCGGTGCGGGGCAGGGTTCCTAGTTTTGTGCTCCGGGCCGGATTCTTGTGGTGGTGGGGTTTTTGGTTTAGATTTTAGGGTTTTTGGCGTTATAAGGTTTCTCGGTTCTGGAGTTCTTGGCTACGGCCAAGGACCCGTTGGCTGTTTACCACCCTGGTCAGAGAGAGTAACGAGCACACATCAGAGAGTAGGGAGCAGAGTTGAGAGATAGAGAGAGAGAGAGCGAGGGAGAGAGATAGACATAGAGGGTGAGAGAGAGAGAGAGCGAGAGACATCGATCGAGAAAAAGGTAGACACATGGAACAACGTAGATATACCTATATACATGTAGTATGTTTGCATGTATGTGCATATCTATATGGTATGTGTAGCACCCTGCAATTACTGATAAGAGTGAACTGTGCGGCGGGATCGTCGGCAGTCTGCGAGGCTCTGAAGAAGCCTGCCGCAGGCGCCGAGTTTGTTTTGCATTGCAAAACGGGCCCGACGCAGGCGACGAATCTTCGTCAAATCAAAGTTGGTGGGTCGCGGAGTCGGTCGCGGGTGTGTCGCCAGTGAGGGCGACAACAGTGGCCATTTCATTCTGATATTTTGGATGAGACAAGAAGGATATGGAGAGAGGGTGAGAAAGAGAGAGACAGACAGAGGGACAGGTAACGAGAGAGAGAGAGAGAACAACAACAATAGCGAGCGAGAGAGGGAGAGAGAGCGCATGTATTTGAGGGAGCAGAACAAGTTGATAGGGCAGATAAGGAAAGAGCATCTTGTGGGTGCACGCTTGAAGGAACTCAGGTGGGGCTTAGAGTAGGAGCCTCCCGCGGCCCTCCAGGAGGGCCTCTTGGAGCTCTCTTGGGCCGTCTTCGGAGCCCCTTGAGTTTTTTTGGTGCGATATTTGGCAGTGTTGGGGGCCTCTGCGGCCATCTTGTATCCATATCCTAGCCGCGTGGATTCAGATTCGCCGTCTTGAGACCGTCACGGAGGCCAGCTCGGGCCATCTGGCTGACCTTGGAGCCATCTTGAGGCCATATGCCAGCCACTTTGTACAAGGAAAGCTCGTGGGACGTGCAGCCAGTTTGGTTGGCCGAAGGCAACTGGGAACCCTTCTGGACGAACCTGAGTTGGTTGACAAATCCGACCTGTCAGGCACCGCTTGCGAGCAGACGTGGGCGGATTGTCTACGGACCTTTCGCCCATCCAGTCATGGTGTGTGTTCCTCTGTTTGTATTGTTCGGGGCCTCTGTGGGGCCAGTTGGGGCATAGTGCCTCTCCTTGCGTCTTGGGCCCATCATGAAGGGGAGGCTTCCAGCAAGCTGGTGGCCGCGCGCTTTTTGGGTCCCATTTTGGGGCCATCGTGGAGGCCTCTTGGACCCCTCTAGGGTCTAGGGCGCCTGGGGGCGATCTTACGGGTGGGCCCTTTCGAACGCCCCTAACAGCCGCGAAGCTGCGACGCATCTGGAAGCTCCTGGACAGTCGGCGAGAAATCGCAGCCCGATGTCATGAGGATCGTTTTGGACGCCAGAGCTCTAAGGAGCTTCGGGGTACTCCACTCAGTAGCTGTGGCACGGTTGCGGATGTGCAGATAGTCGCCAAGATACATGAGAGCGTTCAGGATGAGGAGACCACCAAGTAGGCCGCAATAGATCCGTCACTGAAGACGCTGTAACTAAATTGCCCGTTTTGATATGTGGACTTCGTGCCGTAGTCTATTTTGTCAGACACATGTGCCTTTTCACTACGCGGTGTACAGCAACGGAAGGTCAGGCGCTTTGTGGCAGTATGCAGACACGTGGCATTCTAAGCGTGGTAGTTGGCAGCTGCTGTATTTTTGATGCGTAGCTCCAGATACTGTTTATTGAGAGATGGTGTAAAGCGCCTTGCATGTATTACAAAGCACGAGTGCACGAAAGAGTACGATGGTCACGTGCGAACCAAACGAAATAGCGGGTTTGGCCAGGAGTTGGCACGATTGAAGGAGCTGAAGGCGTTAAAGGAGCCTGGTCTGCCCTTTTCGCGCACACGTTGTTGTTCGTTGTTCGACGCCTTCTGGCAATTCTCTTCCCCTTGATTCATCCCAGCTTTGCGAGTGTGTATGTTTTGGTCGTGGCTTGCAGTTGCGGTGCATTATTCAGTACTGTTTGGTGGACTGCAATGTCACCATGCCGCGCACGCATGCTCCGTGTCACAGCGAGGTTCCTCGGCAGCAGTGGGCGAGCGTGTCTTGTCGCATGGTCGCCCGTTGTCTGTCTGTTGCGCTCGTCTGCTGGATGTTGCTGCGCACCTCTGTCCACCGTCAATGTTGCCACGCGTTGGTCGATCATTTGCCCACAGCGCTGTTGGTCGATCATGTGGTGTCTGCGCTCTGGCGTTCTCGCGACGTGGCGAGCGCGTTCAGGAGCAATCTGGGGAGAAGTGCAGCTCCACCGGCGGGCCGGTTGCTTGCTAAGCTTCGGGGCACTGCGGCTTGAGGAAACTTCCTGTGAAGACAAGGGGGCTTGCTTAGCACTTTCGGTAGTTTGTGGGAGGTTGTTGGGGCGTCTCGTGGTTTCTCGGTGAGTTCTTCCTTGATGCTTGCAGGGGCGTCCGCACTTCTTAGGGAGCCTTTCAGACCCCTGGGGCTCCATGCGGTATTTGGTACAGCGTTTTGCTAACACGTGCGACGGATGTTGTCTTTGGAGCTTGGAAGGCGTATGCGTAGATACAGCCGCGGCATCTGACCCTGATAAGGTGTGTTCCCACTCATGCCCGTACATCCTTGCCTGCACGGCTTATGCTCAGCAAGCTTCGATGGCCAGCCAACACGGGTACCTTTTTCGACGGCGTGCACCTCTTGACGCTTCGCGTGTCCCATCAGCTAAGCCAGAGGCGATTCCCACATGGGTCGCATTGGTCATTGATTTCTGGGGCATACGACCTGGCAGCCTCGAAGAGTGACCAACCATGTCCGCCCTTCAAGAATCGTTGCAGGCATTACCCCCCAACCTGCAATATTTTTCGTTGCGCCAGTGATGTAATTTGCTTTCCAGAGCGGCCAACGTTTGCAATCTGCCACACGCTTGTTCGATGTGGTCCGATGACGGGAGGTTGAGGAGTGGGGTGAAAGAGCGGGAGCAGGATGAGGGGACCAGCAGAATGAAGCGGAGGTGAAGACGAGCACGAGGAGGGGGAGGAGGAGGAGGAGGAGGAGGGGGAGGAGGACCAAGAGCAGCAGGAGGAACACGTTCGCGGTCAGGACGAGACAAGAGTAGAAACGTGCGGTGGCACAGGGAAAGAGACAGGCAGCCGCCCTATCGTCCTCACACTCCCCTCCAAAACAGTCTCGAATCTCCCCCTCCTCCTCCTCCTCCTCACCCTCCTTCGTTTTTTTCTTCTGCGCGCAGGAGGGCATATCGCAGGGATGCGCGAAAGCTCTTCCAGCTGACTCCTGAACTCTTATCCCGGTCATTTTGGGACAATCGAGCCTGACAATGAAAGCACATCGACACAGTTGTTGTCAGTTTCCTCCCCCGCGGGACTCTTCTGAGTCAAATTGGCCATCGACGATGCGCGCGTCAAATTGTATGGACGCAGTACCCAAGCACGTGCGGTACGTGCTGGGGTATTGATTTCACGCCCCGCGGTGCGCGACGTACCGCGGGGATGCGCGGCGCGACCAGGGGTCTCGGGAGGATTGAGATGGGGACGGGAAGAATTTGGGACTCGGACCAACAGCAGTTCCTATCCGTCTTGAGCAAGACTCGTTGTCCTTGTCCCCGCAGGCGCTGTCCGTTTGGGGCAAGCATCGCCTGCCCAGCAGCGGCCGCTCTCGGTTTTAGCTTTTTTTTCGCCGATGGGCAACGTATCCATGTTGTTCAGTCCCATGTCGTCGTACCAGGGGTCAGTCAGAGAGGCATCCGCTTCTTGGGATCCTCTCGGGGGCGTCTTTGGGAGAGACATGGATGAACAAACAACTTGATTCTAAACAGGTTTCTCCCGTCGGGCGCCGACAAAACCGCCTCTTGTGACCTCCCTGAAGTTTTATGACGATGCTTTTGCGGGCCTGTGAGGCCGTCTTGGGGCCTATCCGTCCCCTCTCCGGCCGTGGTCCGTCCGCACGGCGAGGCCAGAATTGAAGCACGGCATTGACCGCCTGATCCAGGGCGCCTTGATGCAGTGGGTGTGGATATTTCATGCCCCCCATGGGGCCCGAATATTTCCATATCGACTTCATCCAGAATGATGTCACCCTGGTGTCCTGGGCCCTCGTTTCCCAAGGCGGCGGATCTTTCCCGAGCGATCCGATGCCTTGCTTTTTTCTTTGCGAACCCCCCTGGGAGCTCCGACCCCTTCTCCAAGGCCAGTTCTTCCCGACAGTTGTGTGGACGGTCCTGGGCCCCATCGAGGGCCCCAGAGGTCAAATAATGAACATAATTTTCGGATAGAGTTTCCAAGCCGCTGGAGGCTTGGGCCACGGGCTTAAACATTTGACCCCCATGCATCTCATCGGATGCGTTCTGACCAGAGTTCCGAGGTGACCCCAATCGTGGCCACGACAAGCCTCGCAGAAAAACTGCCGTGCTGTTTTTGTTGCCAGTGCGCATGAAGACCCGAGCCCCAGTACGTCTTGACAGAGCTGGGGGCGTGCTTCAGTTGTCCCCTCCTGGCTGAACCGTGACGCGGTATTACACGGGCGGTACTATAGTGTTGACCGTATCTTGGAAGTCGCAAAGACAAGCGCCGCGCCAGCCCCCCCACCTCCCATCCCCCTGATGCAAAGTTGGGGAGACAGACGAGAAATGACGGCAATGGACCTCATCGGTGACCTTGTCGCGTCGCTTCGCTGCTCAGCATTGCATCGCTGGGTGCATGGGGGGGGGGAGGTGGGGCGTCGCCTTGCCGCGGCGACAGATTCGGCGACCGCCGCACGGGCGCGCCGTGGCATGCCCGCGTCGATCGCCCCCCGAGGGGCGGGGGAAGCGCGGCCCGAAGCTCGTGCACCCGGCGGGTGCGCCAAGGAGAGGCGCAGTGGGCACGGAAGGGAGCGGGCAGGGGGGCCGCGGGCCGACGCCCGGCTGGAGGGCACGGCGGTTTCGGCGCCTAGAATTCGGGAGCGGAAAAGAGGGGGGTGATGACTAGGGGGGGTGGATATCATGGAGCGGGCCATGATATTTCCCCGGATTTCATGGCGCCTCTTCTTGTTTCATTACGTCCCTGCCCCCCCCGCTGGGCCGCGCACATGCCGCCGGTCATGATTTGCACCCCCCCCTCTTGGACACCCCCCTCTTGGCCGCTCCCGAAGAATGGAAGCAGCAACGCCGATGTCCCAGATTGACACATACACACTGTTCGTTTCTAGCCTTTCGGAAGTTCACTGAGTTTTGTTGGGGGGGCCAAGACCCTTCCATTTCTAGCTGTTCTAGCCTGGGCCTCCTGGCCACTAGGGGGCCAGGAACAATTAGGAACGAGCACGCACAGAAATGAGCACGATTAGACATGAACGACGTGAAAACATCAACGCCGATCTCCCAAACGGACACATCCGCCCCCAGCGTTTCCAGGAGCATCGAGGCATGGTGTGTCAATGACCACTCGGCCGATCACGTCACTCGATCACACGATCCGATCGCCGCCCCCCCACCACGAGGGCCGCCGCGCCGATCACGGATCGATCGCGCCCTCAAGCTCGGACGATCGCGCGAATGAAACGAATCCATCGTGCGGTCGGCCCGGCCATCACTGCGATCCGGAATCGCCGACCGCGTGGTCGGCAGACCCTGAGATCGAGGGCCTGGGCGCAGACCTCGGGCCCCGCGCCGGGCGCATCGGCGCCCCGAGCGGCCTCGGGGGAGCTCCGCCCCGGCCCGCGCGCCCCACCGCGCCTCGTCTCGCGCGCCGGCGGAGGCGGCGGCTCGGCTGGCGACGGCGCCTCGGGAGGCGCGGCCCCGCCGCGCGGCCTTCCCCTGGGCGAGGGGGAGGGAGGAGAGGAGGAGGAGGAGGAGGAGGAGGAGGAGGAGGAGGAGGAGGAGGAGGAGGAGGAGGAGGAGGAGGAGGGCGTGCCGCAGATTGAAGGAGGAGGGCGAAGCGTTGGTCGAGCCGGCCCAACCCGATGCCTTCGGCTCCGATGGCCACAGCTGCGTCGTCTCACTCCGGCTCGTGATCACGAATCTGTCGCGGGAGGAGGAGGAGGAGGAGAAACAGGAGGAGGAGGAGGAGGAGGAGGAGGAGGAGGAGGAGGAGGGGGGGGAGGAGGGGGGGGAGGAGGACGGAAGGAGGAGGTGGAAGGGGCGGAGGAGAAGGTGGGATGCGGGTTTGGCCCGAGCTCGGGAGCGAGTTTCGGGATGTCAACGCCGCTGGACTGGAGCGCTCAGGCAAATTGTCGCCGTCGGAGGCCATCGGAGCATCTTCTCATCGAGAGCACAAGAACTCCTAACCCTTCTAGCACGTTGAAGGTGCAGCCACGGGGATAACCCATCTGGGTGCTTTGGCTTGGCGCACCTTTTGAAAAGGGTCCCCTACCCCCGATGTTTTTTGTTGGCATCTTGACTTAGGCTCGCTCCCAAGGGTTCGGGCCCCCCCGAGCGATATGCCTTTGCTGCCCGAGGCAGCCCCTGGGCGCGCGCCCGAGGCAAGCCCGAGGCCGAGGCGAGCCGGGGCGAGCGCCGCTGCTGAGAAGGAGCGCCCGCCGAGAGGCGCACGTCACTATCTTGCGCGCCTGTCGGGGGTGGACAGAACCCCCAACAGTGACACGTCGATTAGTGAATTGTCCGTTCTCGGTTTTCGAGAGGGCGCCGATGCCGTTATTTTCCAGGCTTGCGTCCGCCCGGTCTGGGCCGCCGGTCGTTTTCACTAAACCACGTTTTACTAAAGGGAGGTCTGTCCATCCCCGAGCCTGCCTTGAGTGCTCCGCGGAGGCTCCCAGAGCCCAGCGGTGGTTTCGGTCGGTGCGGCTTGCCCGAGATCTGGGCTTCGGAGGAGAAGGCACAGACAGCGACCTTTCTCTCGTGCTCCCCTTCTTGTTGCTCCTGGGAGGCTTCCCTTCTTGTGGCTCCTGGGAGGCCTCGTCGCCTCCGCTGGAATCGCTTCGGATTTCTGGTCAGAACGGACAGGGCCGGGGAGCAGCGGCAGCGGTACTCCCCCATGGTGTTGCGATCTTTTCGCACAGGCATGTTCGCCCCGCTTCGGGCCCCAGGACCAGCACGGATCGATCCGGTTCGAGACATGCCGCGGCAAGATGCGGTCCAGGGCTCCGGTGTTTTTTTTGTTGCTATGTTGCAGCTTTCGTTGCGACGCCGGATCTCAGAGGTCGGATGCCGCGCCGAGTCGGCCGCCTCGGCGTCGTGTAAGGGGCAACGTCAGCGGGAGGGATAGACTCAGAGGGGGACGCATCCACCACTGATCGCGGATACGATAGGGGGCCCGATAGCCAGCCTCGCCCAGGAGCGTGCGGTTTCGCTGTCGAGTGCCTATCGCCGACATCTCGGCGGTGCACCGCCGGTTCAAGCTTGATGCCACCCCCCCTCAGCCGCTGGGCACCCCCCGGAGCGGTCTCGACCACTTCCATGGGGCCAGCTTCTCATCCCGAGCCGTTTCTCGATGGTCCCGGCGCCCGGCGAGGGCCCCCAGAGGCCGAAGGCAGAAAGTTCGTCTGAATATTTTGGTCGTCTACGACGCGAGAGGGTCTGGGAGCGTTGCCCCTCACTCGCCGCTTACTGCGTGAGGTGTTCGACAATGGACCCCTTGTTGACCGCAATTGTCCAGCGCTCGCGCCGAAGACCGCAGGAAGCCGCCATAAACCGCCGAATACCGTCTGCATACCGTCTGCAGACCGTGAATAGACCACCAGAAGACCGTCAGAAGACCGCCGAAGACTGACCAGGGCCGGTGGGTGACAAGGGTCGGCGGCGAGCCCAGGAGGGAAGTGAGAAGGGGTGGGCCTTCTCAGAAGGCTCGGAGGTCCCCCGGCCTTTTGAGAAGTTTTCTGAGCCTCCCCCGAAGACACCGAACATTTCCCAGAGTTTTTCGAGCCCTCCCCGAAAACACAGAAACCGTTCGGAAGGCGCGAGGGCTTCTGAGAAGCCCCGCCGCCTTCTGAGAAGGCCTTCCCCTTCTCACTTCCCCCCCTCGGTCGTCGCCGAAAGAGGTCCATCGTCGAATGCGTGAGGTCGGACCTAGCGGCGCCACCTGTTGCCCGGAGAGCGCCTGCCCTCCAAGTGGGGCGCGCAGAGGGCCACAGTGCGCCTCGGCCGCCGCCTTGGGTGGCTTCGTTCGAGGAGGAGATTCGATCCTGGGCCTCCATGGTGCTGATGCTGATGCTGACGAGGGTACTCCTGAGGGGGGATGGCTGAGGTGATTCTGACGATGATTCTTTGAGGATGCGACCTGTGATGGTGCTGACGGTAATGATGACGACGATGCTGGTGGTGATATGAGGACGGTGATGTTTTATGTTGGTGTTGATGATGATACGTATGCCGATTGTGATGATGATGATTTATGACGATGGTAGTGATGACGATTGGGGTGATGATGGTGATGGTGATGGTGATGATGATGTTGATGATTGTGGTGGTGACAAGGATGATGAGGGCGCTGGTGTGCCAGTGGGCATCGTGATGCTGATGATGATGACGACTGCGATGGAGTTGGCTACAGGATGAGATGACGATGACGACATTGCTGATCACGACGATGATGATGCTGATGATGTCGATGATGCAGATCACGGTGACGAAGCACTTGGCGCTGTGCGTGATGATGCTGATGGTGGTGATGATGCCCACGAGTTTCATTTCTGCCTGCCCTGTGTCTGCGGGCCCTCGGGGCCCTCGTCGCTCCGGCTGCGTCCGCTTCGAAATCCTGGCCAGACCATGCTCCAGGATAGTGCTGCGCTTCTGTTGAGGATGGATAACCTTACGAAACGAAGTATCTGAGAAACCCTCCCCCCCTTCCCCTTCCGGCTTGAGGATAACGCTTCCGCGACGGGAAGCGCTACCCCTGCTCCCGAAGGATGCTGTGGCTATCGCCTTAGCGCCGCGTGCATTCCCTTCAAACACGCGGCAAGAGCTTCACGGATGGAGGGCGGCTCGCTGCTCTCGCCTCAGCGCTGCGCACATCCGTTTCAAAGTCAAAGTCTTGCAAGAACTTCATGGGTGGAGGGCGATTCGTTTTCAAACTGTGGCTATCGCTTCGGCGCCTCGCACATGTGTTTGGAAACGCTGCAAGAGCGTCACGGATGCAGGGCGTCTCGTTTTCAAAATGTTGTTTTCGCACCAACGCCGCGCGCATTCGTTCTGAAAACGTTGCAAGAGCTTCACGGATGGAGGGCGGCTCGTTTTCAAAATGTTGTTTTCGCCCCAGCACCGCGCGCACTCGTTTTGAAAACGTTGCGATCGCTTCACGGATGTGGGGCGGCTCGTTTTTTCAAAATGTTGTTATCGCCTTAGCGCCGCGCGCAATTCTTTGTAAGAGCATGGCAGGAGCTTCACGGATTTAGGGCGGGTGGTTTTCGAAATGTCGGTTTCGCACCAGCGTTGCGCACATTCGACGTTGAAACTTGCAAGTGCTTCACGTATTGATGGCGGCTTGTTTTCGAAACTGTTGTTCTCGCTTTAGCGCCGCGCACATTCGATTTTAAAACCCGCATGAGTCTCATTGATGGAAGGCGGCTCGTTTTCAAAATGTTGTCCTCGATTTAGCGGCGCGCGCATTCGTTTTGAACAACTTGCAAGAGCTTTACGGATGTTGAGGCGGGCTACTGAAGGCTCGGTGGTCTTTCCGATTGGGCAAGGGGTCAGATCTCGGAATTCATGGTGGCACGGCACTAGCACGGTCTCAGAAGCACTGTTGATATATTTTTCCAAGGTGGTCTGCAATCTTAATGAGATGCCCCACCAATTTTTTTCAACCAGTGACTTGCCCATGTTCTCACTCACGCTCGTTTTGCGAGCATCGTCTCGGCTTCTTGCTCATCTAGGACGCATTTGGCGGTCTGTCCCTACGATGCTGGACGAGACGTTGAGTCAGTTGACGCGCTGCAGCGATGCCACGGAAACAGCGCATGTTTGCCATTGTGATTGAGGGGTTCTCAGCTGGACGTGTTTTCGCCATGTGTGCATGGTGTGTATGGTGTGTGCGTGTGTGTGTGTGTGTCTGTGTGTGTTTGCATCTTATTTGCGTCCCGATGAACGTGATTGCTCTTAAGCTAGCCAGCGGTGCCTGGTTAGAAGGAGCGGGTGGTGATCTGCGTCGGGTGAACAGTGGCCCATGCGTTGCCGGGGGTAGGGCTAATCTGAGGACGGTCCCATCCACCACCAGATCACACCACTCCTTCTACATAAGAGCACGAACGTATCAACATACTTTGTCGGTGATCCGCGCGGATTTCTTGAATCGGCGTTGGGGCCCCCATGGCGGCGCCTCGGTCGCCGACACTGGCGCGCTCCGCGCGCCAGGGAGGGGGGTCAGCGCCGATCCAAGAAGTCCGAGGGGACCTCGATAAATTACGTTTATGCAGTTTTTTGGCTCCTCTTTTTCTTACTCGGCCGTGCTACAAGGCCTCAAGACAGTGCGTACGATCAGGGGATCTGGGGGGACTTTCTGTGGATGGCGGCCTGTTCACATTGCTGTATCAATTTGTAACTGCCTCAGCGGCGCAGGGCTGGCGGAAGATAGGAGGGACCGGGATGCGAGAAAAGAAGGAGCGCACTGATTCCCAGCATTTGGGTCAAGCTTGCCCGGACATTTTGCGGAGAGGGGGCCGTGATGTTGATTGACACAGTTTTCGAGATGGAGGGGTTGAACCAGTCATTTCGAGGAGGGAGGGCGCTCCAGCGAATCTGTCTGCCCCCGTGGATTCAAGAAGCTGGAGCAGACAAGTTCTCTCCAGCGCTGGACCGCATCATCATGCAAAGGTCCGCCATGCCTCATCAGATCGCACGGGAACGCCACGGAGATGCTGGGCGAAGCCTCGTTCAGAGAGTGATGGGCTGCGGAGGTCCGCCCCCTTGTCTTTCTCCCGAGATGGGGCCGGAACAGCCTGACCCCACTGCATCACCGATGCAGCGTCGACGTGGTGCCATCCGGAGCCCGGTGCCCCCCACCGTCACCGATGCATCGGCGATGCGGCGCGATGCTTCGACATCCCCCCGACGCCTCGAGTTTTTGAGCCGCTGGCCCCTAGAGCTCTCGCGAGACCGTCGCGGGCCAGTTCGACCAGAAACGGCCTTCGGACGTAGAGCATCGGCGGGAACCCTTTGGCGGCATGGTTCCGATTCTCTACAGAGGCATCGGATGGGACCCGCGTAGCGAGAACCTCCAGACATTGACGGGTCGATCAGGGGAGGCCAGGGCGGCGGGGAGGTACAGTGATGGTATCGAGAGTGTGGGTGGAGCAGGTGAACAGTGGGAGCGAGGGCAAGCAGCCGCGCCGCTCGCTCCGACACGTCTCCTCCCGGTTCTGGTCCAGCGTTTCCTCGGCTAGGGGGCCACATGCGAACCGTACCCATACCCCCCACGATTTCTGAGGGGGAGGGTGGGGTTCACTTCGCTCGTCCGATGTCTGATGCCCCCAGGTCCTCCAGGCCGCCCGCCCCTCGGGTGCAGGGGGTTCCTCGGCCTCGCATTCTCGCCTCGTCTGGGCATTTGCCAGCTCGCTTCACGCCAGCACCCACAGCGTCGACGTTCCCAAACATATCACATTGTATTTTTGTCCAAGCAATCGTGTTCTAAGTTGTGCGGAAATCATTACCTGGGTGGTGAAACGGGGGTCGTGCGCGTTATTCTGCGATGGGAGTGCTCATGGTGGGCGCGCGGGCGAGAGGAAGTTAGGTGAGCCCACGCTTTCCCGCCCAAATTGCACCCCAAATCGTGCCCCAAATTGTCTATCCCTGTGACAGCACAGGGTCTCAGCGTAGCGGGGGCGCCCGACCCAAGGGCTAACGCGCGTCGGCCGCGCGTCGCTCGGAGGAGCGCTGTTTGGCGCACAGTTGGGGCACTATTTGGGGCACTTCGCGGCCCAGTGCGCTCCAGATCGCCCTCCGAACATCGCCAAGATTGCGTGCGTCGCCATCGCGCGCAACGGCTATGCGCCGCCGCTTTTTTGCATCCTTCTCCTAAAGAAAACTATGACTTGGGCGACACTTTGGGACAGGGGGCCCTGCTGGTGGAGGGCGGTGTGAAATCTGGGATGCTGGCGCTGGCAGCGCGCATCAGAGCGCGCGAGGAGGCTGCTGCACAACCCGCTGACTGAGGTGGTATACGGTCGGACCGAGGCATGAGATCGAGGTCGGTTCGGGGAGGGTGCCCTCATGTTCTTTGTGTTTGTTGGATGTTAGTGTGCATCCTGGGGAGGGTACCCTTGGACGTGCTGTGTGTTTTGGCCGGCGGAGGGCCTCATATTCCTGAAGGGTGTTATTCTGCCCGATGCCCGAATGTATTACGTTCTGCTGTGGGACCCCCCGAGGGAACAGGACCCTCCCGACACGTGGCGCGCTCCAGAGGGGGCCGCGCCTTCGGCGCCGCCCTCGCCTCCGGCGGGAAGCCCGCTGGCTGGTGGCACGGCGGCACGGGTCCACAGGCGTCGGCCTTGCGGAAGGTCGTCAGACGGCGGCGGATGCTAAAGTGGGACGTCAACATGTTCGGTCTCAGAGTTCCTCCTCCTCTTCCTCGTCCTCCTCCTCCTCGTCATCCCCCTCCTCGTCCTCCTCCTCGTCCTCCTCTTCGTCCTCCCCCTCCTCCTCCTCCTCCTCCTCCTCCTCCTCCTCCTCCTCCTCCTCCTCCCCCTCCTCCTCCTCCCCCTCCTCCTCCTCCTCCTACTCCTACTCCTACTCCTACTCCTCCTCGTCCTCATCCTTCTCGTCCTCCTCCTCCTCCTCCTACGGTCTCAGAGTTCCTCCTCCTCCTCCTCCTCATCTTACCTCTGGTCCTCCTCCTCCCCTCCTCCCCAACCAGCGGCGCTCTCTTTTAATCTCGGCGGCGGGAAAGTTTCCTGCGTCCCCCAGGGCACCTGGGTTAGGGGTAGTCGCTCGCAGGCGTGCCTGGGTTCCATGTAGCTCTGTCGGAAGGGGCTCGCTGACCAGCTGCGTGAGTTTCTGGATTAGGCCACTTGCATGGCGCTAAACTCACAATCGAAACCCAGCAAACGGTGTTGGCATATCTCCTTGGAGGTCCGCGCGGATTTCTTCGAGGAGGTCGGAGGTCGGACGTCGAGGTGAACGACAAACGTGCACTCTGGATCCATCAGCACCAGATTTAAAATCGCATGTGGCCGCTGTATTCACAAATCAGCGCTTCCTGCAGGGCTTCGTTTTGGCCAGACTCCCTCGCCAGTCGCCCACTCCATGCCGCCCCCGCCCCTGCTGGGTCCATCCACGCCTTCTCCATGCTACGGCATCCGCCTCAACCCTTCTTGGGCATGTTCCACCTTTGTTTTCTGTGGCCCATCCACCACTGCCTACCCCATGCCGTCTCAATCCCTTCGGTTTCCCGATGCGGCCAGTCCTGGGCATCCCTGAGTTGGCCTGCTCGCTCACTCCACCGCCAGTCCCAATCCTACGGCCGTGCCGCTGGGCAGCATGCAGATGCCGCCGCCTTGAGCTTATTTTGCTGCTCGAGCTCAGCCTTTTGCTTCTCTCGCGGCCCCAGCCGCGCCGAGCGAGGCATCCGCGACGACGGCGGTGACGGCGACGACGGCGACAGCGACGAAGACGATGGCGAAGACGACGGCGACGTCGGCGACGACGACGGCGATATCGGTGGAGGTCCTCATCCCACTGCTCTTCGTCGTCGCCGTCCTCCTCTTCCTCCTGCCCTCAGCCGCTTGTCCTGATACTTCTGCTCCGGCTCCCGCCAGCCCTTCTTGCTGCTGTTGCTCTTGTCTGGCCTCCCCCCGAGAGCGCCAAGCACTGAGGGCTGTAGAAGGCCGGTTGGGCATGTCGCTTGGGCTGCGGCAGCCCACGCTGGGGCCAAGCTTCCGCGGGTGCCATGCGGATATCTCGCGCCTCGCAGCAGTTCAGGGCGGCTTGGCTGGTTCGGTACGTGTGGCTCTGCACGCCGCGTGGTGTGCCCAGCGCCGGCCTGTCCCAGGTTCTCCGTGGGGCACACGTGCATCGCCCCTTGCCCTCCCTGCCCACGCCCGCCCCCCCTCCCTAAAGAGGAAGGTAAGTCTGTGTGGGGGTGGGGGATACGGATGAGGATGAGGAGGAGTGAGAGGAGACATGGGAGGTGTGTGTGGGAGGTGAGAATAGGAGGAGGGATAGGTGAGGGAGAAGAGGGCTCAGAGGGAGTGGAACGAGTGGCACGTGCGTGCCCAGGCACATACACAAGAGGAGTATGTCCGTCTTGTGTATGCCTATCCTTCCGTTGAGGAGGAGGAGGAGGAGGAGAGCGAGGTAGAACAAGGAGACGAGGCAAAGGGTGATGACGACGAGGAGGGGGGCTAGGACCACAATGACCTAGGGTGACGCCCTCCCGGCTCAATCCCCTTCCTCATGCGTCCTCGCAAGCCATTGATTGCCTTAAATACCCCTTTGAGAGACGAACGCCCAATCAGTTTGCTATTCAGGCGATCGTCCCACTTCGATCAAAGAAACGTGCACTCTTCAAGCAAATCGTAGAGAAACCGGGGCATATTGTCACAACGTCCAACGGGATGCCCAGCGGGGGCCCCGCTTTGAAAAGGAGCCGCCGCCCATCCGTGTTAATGTTTCGCATGATTGCATTTCTGGTCACTGGATTTGGGGAGGTCTCCAGCGAGAGCCCCATTTTGAATAGGAACCTCCCTCCATCCGTGCGGCTGTTTGCAAGCTTCTTGCCGTCCATTCCGAGGATGGCCCGCCCTCCAAGCACATC